AACAGCGGAATCTAACATACAAAACTACACATGTATCAATGCAGATCAGAAAATCGGAATAAGCAATAGCGATAAAATTTCCGACGAGTTGGAATTCTGTGTTAAAAACTGTGTTATTTCTATAGCTATCGCTATTCCTTCCATTATGCAAGGGGCTTCACAGGTCGGCACCGTACTAGCAATATAGAAGTATTACATATATGGGTTTCNCTCCGGTACGGATTAAATTTAGTGTTCCGTTTCCATTGGAAGTAGAGTACTTATAGATCGAAGCGGAAGCGAAATCAGCGCAATTTGACAGGTTTCCATCTACTTAAATTTGATTCTACGTCGCATTAGGTGTGAATTAATGCTTACAGACTGGCTTTTGCTCCTCAATTAATGCTTCGGTGGAAACTAGACCACTGGTTGTATCTTCCGCTCTAGCTCTAGTTCTCCGTAGTATGACGGTGCCTCTGGTAAGCATCGCATGTCTGAATTTTTTCCGGATTTTTTTCAGATTGACGGGTAAAAATTTTTGCACATCAAACTCGAACATGGCAAAGAAAACTGCGATTTTGCTGATCGCCGAAGGAACCGAGGAAATGGAAGCGGTAATAACGGCTGACATTCTAAGACGTAGCGGGGTATGTTACTTAAGAGAACTAGTAATCTTATGTCGTGTCATTTTGCAATAGATAGGAATCACTAATAATACGTACTCTTTTTTTTTTATAAGAAATCCTGTATTTTTTAACACACTTATTGATGATAGATTGCTGTCACAATAGCTAGTCTAACGGACAATCTCAATGTGAAATGTAGCCGTGATGTTAGGCTCTATGCAGATACCAAGTTTGATGCTGTTAAAAATCAAAAATACGATGCAATTATATTACCTGGTGGTTTAGGCGGATCTAAAGCATTTGCTTCTGTAAGATAAGTTGACAATATTGGTAAATGTACAGAAAAGGTCACCCCCCTCCGATTTCAATGAGCTTGACATATGTTGTCAAGGACACCTTCCTGAGTAACAATTCGTAAATTTTAGCCGTCGCTCGTTGTTAATAAAAAAGTTATGAACAATTGAAGTTTGAAAACTAAGTTTGCCAATTTTTGCTAGTAACTGAAAATTTGGAAACATTTACAATTTGTAATTATGTATGTATCTATGTATATGTTAGCGTCAAAGCCCGAGAATGTGTCAATCAGACTCAATAG